ATGCTGACGCGTGTAAACGCAGTGCGAAATCACTCGTGGACTTGCAAGTTACAAGTTCTTCCGTGATCAAAGGCGCACAAGTGGCACCTGGAAATACTTCTGCACTACTTGTAGACTTTTACTGCGAAATGCTGTGCCTACATAAATGTGAAGATGTTGATCACACCAGTATAACATGATTCTCACTTCAGAAATTCATTTCAGTGCATTTTGTTAATGGCATTCATCTAACAGAAGCAAATACATAGGTGGATATCAATACAGAGGTGTTCCGTCTGATGTGGGGCAATGTAATATTGGATCCCGTGAATGAGGCTTGGAAAGTTGGAGCGTTGGAAGGAACAAATGTGAGGGCGTTTAAACAGTATCACAGAGCTCAGAATGAGAACGCAAAATGGCAAAGAAGCTCGTTTTCAGTGTGTCTTATTAATGCCATTAAAAAACAATAAATATGACTAGTAACAGAGAAGGATTTACAAGGAAAAAAGGGAAAGAAATTAAAATATTCAACAATTTCTAAGGGTGTTGCACGCGTTTGGTCAATACCTGTACTACATTGACCAGTTGCAATAGGTTGACTATCAGACAGAGATCCAGCGAGCATGAAATTCCGGAAGATTATCAATGCACAGACTAGAATGAATGAAAACGAATCAAGAATTCCTGATAGAAATGGTGAATTTTGCAAGCTTATGCAATGACTGGGAGATTGAATAGCTCAGGTAGGAAATGGTATTGAGGGTGAATAAATTTGATTCGAGATGTGAATGAGAAATCGATACATTTTTCTCGCGCCAACCGTGTTGCTTGTCAGCAACGGTTTCTAGTAGTATTTTTAAATGTTACTCTTTTACTTCCATTTGTTGAATACACGATGCAAAACCTAATTTTCAGGAAGGAAAATCTACCAGTCAGAGGGTTTCCTTGTGATGCGAAAACCTCACTGGCGGTGATGGTGGGAGTGGGGTTTGAAAACATGACATCTGGGGGGGGGGCATTTCGATGAGAATTACAGTCTGACTACTGATACTCCAATAGGATAGCGTTTTAGTGCTGCATCATCACGGCTAGATACAGCTGAAGGATCTACCCCACAGATAGTAAAAACGTACTCTGGATCTCGTTACTTGGAATAATTATCGAGTGCTGGGAAACCAGTTAACCAGGCTGAGTAACGAAGAGTTACTAGCACATAGATCCATTTCCAAACACCAGCTGTGGTATAAGCACGTCAGCTCAAATTGAAGAGTTGACTTTGGGATACCGGTACTAAGCTACACTGGGAGAGTTGCATTTGCGGCAAGGGGGGCGCTGAAATGCTGAAAATTCCGTATACACCTGATGCACCAAATGTTAGCGCACCGATTGCAAAAGCATTCTCATCATTCGGTGGCCAACTCAAAATTTACCCCTGAAACCGTCAAAACAAAACTAATATTAAGTGCAACTCCACTGCCTTAGAAGTACTGCAGAGGTTTCAATATTTGCGGAATGTGTGTGCAGGATTTCAATGAATTTTCCTCCTTCTGTTGTTCTGATTTCAACTTAGCTGTTTAATTCCAGGAAACAGGCACATTGAATAGCAATTACTCAAACCTTGACATCAAGTGCGATTGGTATCGAAGCTTATCGTTCGTCACACCCAGATTGTAGAACTATGGTACCAAGGCGTACTTTACAAAACTGAACTGGATTTTCTCGTCTGAATATTGTCTATTTTTTTCTTCGGTGATTTCCTTCAAGAACATTTCCATCTATCTGCTCCCTCACCCACAATGCAGTAAGCATTGTCATAACCGATTGAATGTGTTTGCTCCAATATGTTATTCGCTATTTATGGGTATGTTCGGAATCTGACACGAGGTAAGAGTGAATCACGTGACCAATGTTCTACTACTACCCATCTGTCTTTTGTGTGACTAGCACTTCGAAATGTGACATGCTCACAATAAGTGTGTTCCGAAGCAATCAATCTGAGCAGACAAATTGGGCTGCTCACTATTTTCCTCGATGTTGTTTATTCTATTTCAAGCAGAAATTGCATACATGATTTTCGAGTGAGTCGCATTGCTCAAGTCTTACTCTGCACTGGAAGGTTCTTGCACCCTCTCTGGTCTCACATCAACTGGTCCGCATCGTCCACACGCTTTGACAGAGAAATTTTTGATTGATGAAGGCCTCCATAACATGAGACTTTGGCTTCAATGTATCCAACACATCATGATCGTCAGCACATAATAAACGACTGACATGTTTGGGCGGTCCAAACAAATCAATCACAATGTGTGTTTCTCCAGCGGTATCGCAGTATTTGAAGCATTTAAAAACGCGTGGCGGCTGGCAGACAATACACATCGTAACTGTCCCTTCACGAGTTTCGCAGGTATTGCTGGCCTGACTTATCATCATGTAAAGCTGGAAGTGTTACATAAACAATAGAATAGATTGTGATAAATGTTTCTGATATGTAATTGTGTCGTGCCGCAATCTACAAACATTTTGATCTTTGTTGGAAGGGTGAAAAACAGCATTTATTTGAAGACTCAAAACAGACCTGTGGGGTTACGCCACTCCGATGAAACCATCAAACTACCAGATTTAACTCTAGCGCATTATTTCATGAGTTATAAAACAACCGCTCTTTGTCACCAGTTTAAATATCCAAACATTTTCTTGCAATCGATTCAATCCGCCGCACGTTGATTTTCTCATTTTTAACTTAATTGGAAACTGTCATTTTACAATTAGCTATCGTTACAGATTCACCGCCAAACCAATCACAGGTTGCAAAGAAAGAATCACTGTTAAATGCGTACGAATATCCAGGTTAACGCTGAGTGACGCGCAACCTCAGAAGTCAAGTCCAAATGTTCTCGAGGTTTATTCGACTCAAAACCATAGTAAATAATCATGCCGCACTGCGAATATGAAGTGTTACAATTGCATAAAACGTACACCTTAATTCGTGGCGTTCCCAATGGATATACCTGAACCGGCGAACTGAACAAGGCCAATCGAGAAACAAAGTGGGAACGAGGGAGTTTACCACGCCATCAATCGATATGTCCCATCCAGTCCAGTCTTCACAGGACGAATAATGGCCCTTGCCAGTCAAGCGTTCAGATTGTTGTGTTGCTGGCGAGTGTTCTGGGCTCTGAATATTATTGCGTTGTCCGAGTTTATTTTATCCGGTTTTCTCAGTGAAATAACTTCAGATCGCACATGGGATAGTGCAACGCATGGGTAAGATTAAGATTAGGATCAAGCAAGCCGATACCATGATGGATGATCAGCATTGAAAAAGAACAAAAATGCATTTATCCCACCAAAGTCGGTCCCTGTAGTGTCTCCAGTCAATAACATTCTCAGTTTTTCGCTTTGCAGAACGCGGTCTGGGAGACCAGATCCAAGCAATATTTCTCTAGCCACCTACGTCATAGTTTGTTTACCTCGCTGGTTCTTTCAATTCGATCCAATTTCAGTACGCAAAACGTTGTCCATGCATTCATGCGATGTGCCCTATCCACCTCACATGCAGTTGAGTGATCGTGGTCAACAGCCGATGATTCATTCTCTCCACCCCACCGCCACCGAACACACGCTATGGGCCCACCGTGGTTTGATCGAGAACTGCGGGCGTGCCTCCGGCAGCGGAATAAAGTCTGGTCCAGGATATGAAGAATATCAAGGTATTCAGAATCATTGTAGTGCGTTGAAAAATGCAACAGAACCATATTCGAGAAACGACTCGCAGCGGATTCTGTACAGGCACCAAAACGATCGTATGCCTACCTCAGGCGAAGAATCAGAGCAAAACCTCGTTTCCCGACTCTCGCCAAACACGGGGCGCTAGCCGAAAATGATGTAGACAAAGCGGAGATGTTGGCATCAAATTATGCCTCAGTGTACACCCCAGACTCTAGCACATTGGCATATCTACTGGGCGCTGACACTGCTCTGACTGGATTCCATTCACCATCAGAGAGGTGGCCCTAGAGGTGCTTCGGCTAAACGTTCACCAGTCATCTGGACCTGATGGTGTGTATCCGCGTATCCTGAGGGAGCTAACAGATGAACTTGCAGTGCCACTGTGCAACCTGTCCAATTTGTCATTCACACAAGGGCGTTTATTGCGGCAGTGGAAGGATGCTGTCATTGTACCACTACCCAAAGATGGGAATAATAGTGATTCTGGAAGCTACCGACCAGTTAATCTCACTGGTGTGGTGGGTAAAGTAATGGAGCGACTGGTGGCTGCACGGCTTCGACAGCATTCGGTGTGCTATTGTCACCTGTGCCATCAACAACATGGTTTCCGGCCGCGCTCTCATGCCTCTCAAACGTGCTACTGGCCCGTGAATGCTAGACCGAGGACAAGGCCAAAGGACACGAAACGGAAATCATCTTCGTGGACTTCAGTAAGGCCTTCAATAAGGTACCGCACAACCGCTTTCTGCGAAAGCTGTCTAACCTTGGTATAGGTGTGGTCATGCTGAACTGACTGCGAGACTTCCTCATCGACCGGAAATTCGGCGTCCGTGTTGGTAAATCGCTATCTGCGTGGTATTCCGCTCCCAGTGGGGTCCCCCAAGGCTCAATTCTTAGGCCATTGCTCTTTGTGGTTTATGTGAACGACCTGCCGGGTCATCTTTGCAGCCCATCCCTCATGTATGCGGATGATCGAAATATTCTTCAAGCGGATTTGAATAGCCTGGCTCAGTGGGCGGACGCCTAGGCTCTTCCAGTCAAGACCGCAAAGTCTGCTCACCTGCACTTGGGGTGTGCTGACTCAGAGGTAGTCCACAACTTCCATGGAACCACATCGCGCAAAACATCGTGCGAAGGAGACCTGGGAGTTATGGTCATCACTAAAGACCCGAGAAAACACCGATCGGGTCTGTGCCAGCGCGTGGAGCATTCTGAGGCCTATCCGGCGCTCTTTCAACCGGCTCACGATGAACGCTTTCAGATTGCTGTACGCTTTCCATGCCAGACCAAAGCTTGAGTATGATGGTGCGGAGACATACCCTTGCACGGCCGGGGAACTGGCAAAGTTGGCGCGTGTACACCGTGCTGCCACTAGACTCGTTGTTGGACTACGCGGGACCAGCTATGAAGGTCGTCTGCAGGCTACTGGTCTGTTCCCAGTTGNAGAAGGTCCTGAGAGGTGACACGGGCCCAGAGTTGCAACAGTATCTCTCTTTAGGGACAGAGGACCGCACGCGGGGGCACTCTCTCACGTTGCAGAAACTTCAGTCGATTGGTCTTCCGTTAGTCTATCGACTCTCGCGGAGGTCAACAACGCTCTGGAATTCCCTTCCAGCGACTGTGCTGGAGGAGACGACTGACTCTGCTTTCAAACGGCCTTTGGATGAGCACCTGAAGATACTATGGAGGAACGAACACTTGTGATCGTACCTTCGACCCAGTGGTGATGGGGCTTACACAGGTAACCTGCTCTCTGCCCTCAATACTGAAGACTGAAGACAGACTAAAGACATATCATACATTGGCTAAGCTCGTTGTTGCATAGACGATGTTGCCAGCGCATGTGGGTGGTCTGACACGGACAGTGGTGGTCGAAAGTAGATAAAGTCATTGATCATGATCGGGTCGGAAAGCCCAAGTTCCGCAGCTAGAGGGCAACATAGCGCGAGCCGTTGAGCAATGGACACGCCACTCCAATGAAACAGAAAACACCGATGCAAGAGATAAAGTAGATTAGCATGCATATATATCATATTATTATTATTATGCGCTGATCGATCTACTCACACACACACACACACACACACACACACTTTGTCAGCCATTATGCATCCCTCGAGTAAGAAAAGCAATTTTTAAAAGTCAGACTATATATTTAAAGTGCAGGCAGGTTCATGCAAATATTGCCATGGCACCTGGCACTGTGAAAGTGCGAAGCACATGCAATTGCAAACAACCTCAGTTGCCAAGCCCTTTAACGTGTCTTACGCTACCGGTTTATTGTCATGGAATCCAGCAATGCATTGAAAGTACTGCAAGTCTAGGACTTTGTCTCCAGGACGTCAGAGATTGCTGTACCGCTTTTTAGAGTACATCATTGATAACAAATTTGAATCGAAGCCGAGAAAGGGTGAAAATTTAGTCTATATGTCAAGCAAGCTCTTCGTCGAATCGGAGCCAACTTGCGACGTAAGATGAACGCAAGCATTGCAGCAGGTCATCTCAAAAAATAGCTCACAATCGATTCCTCTGTATCGGCGATAGAATGCCTTCCTCCTAAATCTTTGAGCACAGTCCGGTTAGCTATCCCTCGAGGACGTTTGATCGATTTTGAAAAAGAGCCGACAGGTGATTGTTTGACCTAACTCCTTAACGATGTCTCCCAGCATGGAGTCACTATCGGATGTTTGCGTCTGTGGGCGATTTAAGGCGAGCTTTTGGAAGAACTATTTGAAGTGGTCCGCGCGGGTAAAAGATTGAGATGCGCTCACTGCCAATTGCTCTATCCAGGATTTAGACCGTAGGTGATCACTCTATAGAATTGTCATCTAATTCGTAAATTGTTTTTTTCTCTAGAACGCTGACTTTTCGGTACAGTAGCTCGGGTGAGATGGAACAGTCTCCGGTTGTTACCTGATGCAACAGTTGAAGCTATTTCCGTTACACGTAGAGACCCTTAGATTTCCGGTTATTGCTTATGCTCTGTGTGAACTCCCGCTCCGAAGGGAAGCATAGAAGGGGTTTCCGCTCTGCTGTTTAGATTACTCGTCATACATCAAGAAGCCACATAGTGTCAGTGGAACTTGGTGTTTTACATCTCGCTGGGTTAGACATTTGTATGAAGCGGTTCAACATGTATTGAGTCCGGGATGGTATCCCATTAGTGTTGTGCACAGGTTACTGGTTTTAAATAGCGCAAATCTGTTCGTGTCTTTGTCTTTCGTGTGTAGTCGCTAACACGCATAGGCATCTTAACGAAAACCGGTGCACAGTTTATGTAAAACAAGTTGTTCACACACATTTACCACCTATTGCAAATCAATTTGCGTCCATGTTTGCTTGGATGATAAATCACTCCAAGGGGCTAAGCGGGATATCCAGTTTCTGTAACTGATGCCAGAAACAAACTGTTTCGTGCGCAGGCTAAGAAATCTTTCCACATCGCGTTGATGACAGTAGTTCAGGCTGTGGTGACCCCCGTAGTGGAGCCTCGTTAAACGACAGATGATCAACACGAGTGTCTAAGTCTTCTGTCATGGTGGTGTGCATTTTGCAACGGACCACCTTAACGCAGGTACGAAATAGCTATTGTAATCAGTTCTTCCTCAGTCTGATTCCTATTTACGATATGCTTAACTTTCATTATTTAAATCAATAGAACAACGAATATTTTCCATGAGAGGAATAATTGGTTTGTTTTTCCTCCCCGCGATCACCGAACGAATATTCGATAGGCAACTTATTAGAATGGGTAATCACGTATGAATTGAACCACACCCTGGGGTATGGCTATTAACGCTCATTGATCCAACATTGTAAACGAGATGCAAAATGTATCGGGCTAACTGGGTGGGTGGGTGAGTGGTGAGTTGGAGACCAATGAGGAGTCCGTACGCGTTCACAATTCCAAGTGCCCATTAGCGGGCTAAGAATAAATATTATCAACAATCTGTGCTTTTCGACTCAAACCAG